ATATATTTATTGAGTTCACACTTTAGGTGTCAGGAGTCAGTAGTAAAGGTTTAGAGAGTTAATGTCAACACAATGACACTATTTCTAAAAGTTTATCTAGCAAAACAAAACAATTTCAGAGTTTTAAAAAGTGGACCCCCCACTTTTGATAGAACTTGACTACTGTATCAGTCACCACCCAGAAACATGGGGTTTGAGTCAGTGCTTCACACACACAGATTAAAATCGATATAAATATTATTTTGCTATCTAGAATTTCATACATTTGCTAAAACTGATGTGTTGTTTCTTTGAACACCAAATGTGATTTGTCTGATTCCTGTCAGGATTATTGCTACTACTCAGATGCAGCCAACAGATGCCAGGAAGGCTTTCCCCTGTTTTGATGAGCCAGCTATGAAAGCTGTTTTCTATATTACTGTAATCCATGACCATGGCACAACAGCCCTGTCCAATGGCAAGGAAAAAGGTTGGTTTCACTGCAATATTTGGAGAGGATTAGACACACAAAATCAACTGAATGTATGAGGGAAACAGTGCTGGACTTTAGTTTTTAGGGTTACACTGTGGAAAGCAGGATGTAATAGTGACATGTCTACAAAAAGGTCAAATATGAACAATTAATAGAACATATGGGATTCTGTTAAATTTAATTTCTTTCTTACAGAATCAACTAACATCATCGTTGATGGCCACAATCTGCTGAAGACGGTTTTTGAGCCTACTGAGAGAATGTCCACCTACTTGTTGGCATTCATTGTCAGTGACTTCACCTACATCAGTAACACCACTGATAGAGTTTTAGTAAGTGACCCTCAAAAGATTTGAGTGATGAAAATGAATGCAAATGTGCATTTCCAGGAAACCTAGCAATATGGGCTCTGCCAAGGTATTTTTGTCTGAAATTAGGCTACTAGTTAACAGAAATCAGAGGAGTCTTCAAATCCTACACATGCTATAGACAGGTATTGTTCACTTCTGTGCCACTGTTTATGGAGAACTGACAGCTTCATTACCGATGACTCTGCTGTTAGCCTGCTATTGAGCTAGGTATGGTGTCAGATAGCAGACCGGCCTTGTGAATAAAGTAGAAGCTATGTTAATAGTGACTACAAAAAGCACATGTTCACATTAGAATGAGCATGTCTGATAACCGTACCTGTGTACAAAATAACAAAAATCTGCTGCAGTAAGCTGACACTTATTGAGCTACAGCTGCACTTCAGGAGAATGGCTAAAGACAAGACAATGTGTCACAATAACACACACCTGAAGCACAGACATAAGCCTATATTGGTTTAGCCACTTAAGTGTTACTGATTTGTTCATATACAGTCTTTGACCTTACCACCTCAGCTGGCGTTATTTTCCCCAGCCTGGTTATTCTGTAAAAATGATTAGTGTACAGACAGTTTCTGAGTTGAGCAGCAAGACTCGTGATGCAACTGGGATGTATGCGATGGCCCCTAATATGTGGTGTCTCTTAAGAAATTAAGAGCTACCCTCATTTGAAGCTTAAACTTCACACCCTGGCACTGTTGCTCATCAGCCATTTTTATCTATTTATTTTTTATATTTGCCCTCAAATCCCATTGTATCCACATTCCTTATGAACAGCATAGTCTTTCTACATTGAAGTAAAACAACAAATGGATATGGTTTGCAGAGAGGCACACATAGGAATGAATAAAAATGCACGTAAAAGCCACTAGGAGTGGCTTTGGACCCTGTTGCCATTCAGTATTAGTATTTAAAATGACACTGCTGCAGAAACCAGCGTATGCATTTAATATGAAAGATGTCTGGGCTGAAGCCTTACTTTTAATAAAAAGATCTACACATGCTAGCTTTAGAATATTGGAGTTACAGAGGCAATATTAATAGAAAACCAGAGAGATTCGATGGTTTCTGATTATAGCATTCAAGTGAACAGAAATGTGGATAATGAGATATATTTTGTCATGTGGGTTTAGATCCGTATCTTTGCCCGGAAGTCTGCTATTACTGCTGGGCAAGGAGACTATGCCCTTAACAAAACTGGACCTATCCTTAACTTCTTTGAGAAGTATTTCAATTCCAGCTACCCTCTGCCCAAATCTGGTAAGTCCACCACACATGATGGCCTGAATATGAATGAGTTGCCCTGAAAGTTCATCCCTATTCGATAAGCTACAGTTTCTTGTCCAGGGGTTTCATTTTATTTCATTTGAAATGAAGTTTACTGAAAGCTTTAGGGCTAAGGCAGTGTTCACTTTACCTGTTGGCATGGCCCAAAAACTCAAAGTGAATCAGATCTGGAGGTGTTCTTCATATGGGGATTAACAGATTAGCTGGATAACCTTTTGACAATTTCACATTATCCTGGATCTGGTGGTTCTTTGAAAGCCTCACAGGACTTGTTGTCCTGGCAACAGGTCTGTAATCTCAAACATACTTGGGGGAAGGAAGCGACTCACTGACATCAAAATGATTATAATAAGACACAAGTTTAAAGAAAACAGACAGGACTGAATGGCCAGAACCATTCTTAGAGAGTACTCGGTACTGTTTCAGTCGGGAGGAAATAAATTATTGATGTGTATCTTATATTAAGGGCAGGCAAAGAGGAAATGTGCTCTTTTCACAACACAGTCAGTGTGCACTGATTGTCCTGAGGTTTCTGGCAAGAGGCATTTTTTATGTAGAGGTGTTAATGTTGAAAATGTAATAAAAATCACCATTTTCTGAGCTACTTGAAAAGTGTACCTGGGTCTATTCCTGAGAGTTTTCATAGTCTACCTTCTTCCTACACTATATGCCTTAAAAACAAAGGATCCAAAGCTTATTATGGCAAATTTTCCCAATAGCTGTGGCCAAGTTATCAATTTAGCAGAATTTACAAGATATAGGCCAGTGTCTTCAGAAAGGATTCCCACCCCGACAGTTTATGGACATTTTACTGCTATAAATTTATTCTGAAACTGAAACAAATGTACTTGGAATATGCAAGGAGTGAAGGGCTGGGAATCCTTTCTGACATGGCTGTATCTACGTGGAATTCATAGCAGTTGAGAGCTTGACATATTTTAATAACTGCATGAGCTAAAGTCATGTGATGATGCACACATTCAGACAGTTGAACTGCGACGAAACTGGTTAATCAAAAGAACAAAAATATGTTATAAATCTTCAAAGTGCAGACATCTGTAGCTAATCATTTGCTAAAACATGTTAAAAAGTTATTTGTAAGAAAAGACAGAAGTACTGTAATGCTGTGCAGGCAAAGACTAAATGTGGAGAAAATCCAACTTGATATAATGAGGCAAAACTATGAAGAAAAACTAATAATAACGATGGTAGAAATAGGCTATGTTACAGTGATAACAGTTTGCAGAATATTCTTCACACTCAGAATCAGAATCAGCTTCATTGGCCAGGTGTGTTGGACACACGAGGAATTTGACTGGTACAGCAGCTTTCAATGTGTACATACATGGCCTTATGTAAGGCAGCAGTGGGCAAGTAAACAATATAAGGCTGAGAGGGCTGAGTAAAGAAGTAATGTGCAATCAAGCAAAGGAATGTGCCTTAGGAATAAAAGTGAAGTACCATATACACACACATCTTGTACTTTATTTACCTATAATGCAGAGATATGAAGTAGCCTATCAAAGGTTCATCGCCGCAACCAAAATAACCTTGGAAATCAACTGGACTTGGATTTCTAGATCGAAGACGTTTCACCTCTCATCCAAGAGGCTTCATCAGTTCTGACTTACTGGTGTTGAGTCGGAGATATTTATCCCCCTTGGTGTGGTTTCAGTCCTTTGAAGGCCAACACTGTCCATTAACGACTGAGTCGTTACAGCCCAGTATCAGTGAGGGTCGTTACCTGTCTTTGGATCCTCCCCTGTCAACCGACGCCTATTGTCCTGGTGGGCATGTTTGGGCAGAGATCTCAAAACCGGGTTGTAGATGGAAGACAAGTTGTGTCTTAGTCCACCACCCCTATTTAGTGAGGGGTGTTCTATTTTTACGAAAATAGCTTCCTTAACACCTCTCTCAAACCAGCGATGTTCTCTGGCGAGGATCTGGACTTCACTGTCCTCAAAAGAGTGTCCTTTCTCCTTCTGGTGGAGGTGGACTGCTGACTCTGGTCCACTGGAGTTGGCCCTCCAGATATCTAAACTTTATAAGCTAATGTCAAATACAGATGTAACAATACTAATACAGATACTTGTTCACAATGCACTCTGGGTTGTGCCGATGATTACTTCCATGCTACTTGGATCTGTCAACCTGTTTACTCTCTCTGGGTAGCAGTGACAGAGAAACTCTTCACCATCTTGAGCTGTAGAATCCCCCCATGCCCGTCACTCTGCCTGCTCGGTAATATCACAGAAGTCAACCACTTACCAGTTAAATATAAAAACCCACTTCTCTCTATCGCCAAGAAAACGATCCTTCTAAATCGAAATCTAAAAACTCATTACACATCAACCAATGGACCAACCTTCTCATAGAACACATCAGACTAGAGAAAGCCATCATCCACCCATAAGAATAATATACCAACTTTTACTGATACTTGGAATCCATTTCTAATCACTTTTAACTTAAACCAGATACCTGGGTTCAAGGCCAAGGCCACACACATTCCCACAAACTCCTAGAAATATAATAAGTTTCTTTTTATTTCATTATTGTTACTGTTATTAGTCCTCATTGTCCATGCTACAGTTTTGAGTATATCACATCTATCAAGCAAACCAGATTAACTGAGAATATCCCAGTCATCTCACCACCACAGTTTGGCCCTTGTCGAAGTCACTCAGATCCTTACACTTGCCCATTTTTCCTGCTTCCATCACTTCTGCCTAATATACCCCACACACTGACAGGTGCCACTCTGCCATTGGTCATAATGTTATGCCTGATCAGTGTACAATGGTCATATTTACTGTTTATTGCACTGTGGTGATTTCTGTGTCCAGTCATACAGTCACGTATTAACAGTTCAGCAGAGTAATGGCACGGGGGAGGAAACTGTCCTTGTGTCTGGTTGTTTTTTGGTGTACAGTGACCTGTAGTGCCATCCAGAGGGGAAGAATTCAAACAGTTTATGTCCAGGACGTGAGGGGCCTGCCCTCCTTGTAACCCATGAGGTATACAGGCCCCCCAAGGAGGGCAGGCTGGCACACGCCACCTGTACGTGGTGCCCTTTAGTCAACAAATCCTGACTAACTTTAACCATTCAGAACATTTTAGTCTTGTTTTGTCTGTGAGTTCTAATCTATTTTTTGTCATGCTTTTTGAATGTGTCTTTTGAGTATTTTGACAACACAGCCATCACCAGCTTTGTTGCATACATTTATTATTACAGGTGTTCTTGTCTCTTACAAGGTTAGTGGAAAAAGTCACTTTTCACACACCATCCATGTCACTCTCCACACTAAATTCTTATATTATTACCAAATTCTCACTGTTTGAACAGAATGTTGAATGTTAGACTATAAGATGTTTCTTAAACTCAGTTCTTCCGCCTCTGTCTCGGCCAGCTTGTTGTTCCTAATGGCAGTCTCTGTGGCTGTGATGAAGTCTACCACAGGGATTTGTTTGGGTGTGACCGCAAATGTATGACTGGGCTATTTTTTCCACTCATAATTTCAGCATGTCTACTAAATAATTGCAAGACAGCAAGTTCTTTTTCACGTTTGCAAACACGGTTTGCAGATTTATCTTCAGCCTTATAACTAAGCATCAGCATTTTCATCTCAGCACACAAATGTTTATCGAATGTTCCATCTGAGGGCCAGAATACTGACAAGTGTCACATTCTCCTGTTCCACTTTTGAGATAATCTATAAATTTCCTCCGCCAGCAACAGATTTTTATTCCCAATCACTATGACTGGAGACGTGTTTATCATTTCAGATGCCATAACCCTTTCTTATACAGTTGTCTTTCATAATACACCTATTTTTGCCTATGATCAACTAAATTGGAGGAATGTATAGATGTAAAACATGCAACTCACAACAAAGCTAATTTTTTTCAAAATACTATTTTAACTCACTGTTTCAACTCAAATTAGATTAGATTCACTTCCTTATCATTACCCATGTTCCAATACAAGGCACTGAAAATGCCATTCAACAACAGTTTAAAGCTACTACTTTAGACTTTTTTTTTACAAACTAGAGAACTGTTTAAATTTACATCCTATCCTACTGCCTTAAGCTTAACTCTCTCCTTCCTCTGTGTCTCTGTGCACGTTTACGTCACAGACACACAGAACTGCTCAGGGGGAGAGTAAGAGGCGGAACATACAGCTCTGAACGACACCCATTTCCAGTTTGTATCTAACCGGCGAAAGTAAGACTTGTCCCATCCCCCATTTAAAAACTGCAGGCAGCACAATGCACATTAAAGCAACAAGCTACCATTCCCTCATGAATCGACCACAGCAATAAAAAAACCCCACCATTTTAATAGTAGGTTGTAACTACAAGTGCAATCGCCAATGTTCAACAGTCATGTACTGCTAATATTAAGAAATAGTTATTCGTATAAACAAGTCAATACCCACATGACCCTTTACTCTCCAGACCATGACAGCTTGAAAAAAATAAAAAACACAAGATTATAAACTACAAAACACTACACTACATAAACTTCAAAGATTAGAGACTCCATAAACATCAGGTTCTACTAACTATAGTAACTATAAAACAGCACATCATTATCATTCTTATTATCCTATTATTATTCTTTATTTATTATATTATATGACTTTACCTCCACCGTCCCACGCACGCACCTACACACACAAACACACACGCGCGCCTCTACAGACAGTTAAAATACTCGCACTCACACAAACAGCGGACCGCACCCAAAAGAAAAAAAAAACAATAAACCAACTGCGCAGTAACAGATTCAGTGCATCTACAATATATCTACAGGTCGTACAATCCATTAATATAACCCAATATATATTTTCTTAAACAACTTTTGTCACATTTCATAAAACATGAAGCAATTTACAACACATATACTCAGCCTATATTCAAACACACACTTTTAAGTCCGGAGTATTTACACAAAGCGCTTTAGGTGGG